GAAATTCCCCAGCTTCATTTGAATGAAGCCGGCCGGCGCCATTTTTAAATGCCGGCTAGTTCGGACCCCGTGCCGCGCGGCTACACGCGGAATGGACTAGGTAGTTCGGACTAGGCTTCCTAGTCCGAACTACCGTTACTCCTCGAGGGTTCGAACGAGCCAGGATTTAAAAATGGCGGCGCCCGGCTTATGCAAATGAAGCCCGGGAAATTCAAATCCGGGCTTCATTTGCAAGTGCGGTATGCCTACATTACCACCCTAGTTCGAACTAGGAGGGTAGTGTAGACATACCCTTATAGACTAACAGATGTATTGGAGAATAAGCTTTCGTGGCCAAAGACCCACTTCATCAGATGCATATAGTGGCACCTGCCTCTGGAAATTTCTGCTTCATGCAAAGACCCACTTCGTCAGATGCATGGTAGTGGAAATTTCTGGAGGCAGGTGTCATTATATGCATCTGATGAAGTGGGTCTTTGCCCATGAAAGCTTATGCTCCAATCCATCTGTTAGTCTATAAGGTGCCACAGGCTTCCTTGTTGCTTTTGCATATCTATTAATGTTTTTATTGCAAATGTAAGGGGGCTTCCATTGAAAAATTGAATTTTGATTAAAAAAAATCCAGTCATACTTGAAATTTGAAAAGAAATGTGATCAGCTGTCACTCCAAGTTACAATTTTCTCCTGTATGGAGAATTCTTGTTTGTAAAGATTTTGGACCATTCAGCCCACCAGTAAATGTGTTAATACACCTATATGCCATTTGTAGGACATTAAAGTCTTCCATTTTCTTTGTTTTTCCAATTTGTTGACTGATCAGTTTAGTTTGGGGATGAGTGGGCATATAGGGCTAAGAATAAAGAGTCCCTGTGCAGTCATTAATTTATGAAGACCTCTCATTAACCGACTCTTATACAAAATTTTATAGTTAAAATATAATCTAACCCATAAACAAAATCAAAGTATACATAAATATAAAAACAATCAGTATTTCCCTTCTGGACATCAGTGGAATCTGCTGCATCAAGATTTCACATTAGAGCCAATTACGAGGAGAATCAGAATCCTTTCTGTACCAGCCACAGTGTTACTATTATATTAGATCATAGCTATTTTGCTATTTTTATAGGTATCTGAGGTTCTTTACATTGGCTTCATCCTCTTTTGCTCCATTTGAGAAGTACTCCATTTTAGTAGAATCTGGTTGCAGCTACCCATTTAAAAATTCCTCTGGCAAGAGTGGACCTCTTGAAGGCTATAAAGAGTATGGCTAGACTGCATGGTTTTTTTTTGAATACCTCTGGTATCCCAAAAAAACTCCGCTGTGTCCAGGGATCACGTTTGTTCTTTTGCTTTTTTTGCAGAAAAGCAAATGCACTCTTTCGGAAGCCCTTGTATTCTTTGTTCTACGAGGAAGAAGGGGGCTTTTTTTCCGACATTTGGTCCAGTGTAGATGCCTCTTCCGACAAAAGAATCGGAAAAAGGTACACAAATGCAGAGCATATTTTGCATACTTTTTTCCGACAAAAACTTGTAGTTTAACCGTACCCCGAGTGAGCAAAGCTAGCTCTTGTACTAACTACCCTTCAGCCTGATATCTAAGGGTATGTCTACACTACCCCGCTAGTTCGAACTAGCGGGGTAGTGTAGACATACCCTAAGAAAGGAATTTCCACAGCTAAGGAAAAGTTGCTTTCTAGGCTTGGAAGTTCCTGGCTGCAGTGGTGCATGCACTTATGACATGTCTACAGATACCAGATGCAAACTCACAATGGTGTATTATAATGGTCAGCTTACAAAGTGGAAATGAGTATAATTAATATCTGAGGCATAACTAAATGAAAATCAAGATATCCAGTTCTGTTGCCATTAGTTATGAAAATGGTCCCACTTTGAATGGGGGTTACAGTCTCAAAAGATTATAGAAATCATGGTCTGTTACTTCTGATTCCCTAAATATGTAACAACAAAAGTATCATGATGTCATTCTAGGGCTACAGGTAGGCTATTTGAGTTCTCTGGGGCCTGCCTAGTGCAAGACTAAGCATTTTAAGATGTAATCAAATGGGAGAGGTGTGACTCACCACTGCAGTGCCCCCTGCTCAATGTCCTGGGGATCAGCTACACTAACCCCTGTGCTCTCTTCTGGTGGCATATGACCACTGCCATAACATGTGACCCACTCTGGGGGGGACACATGTCAAGAACTGCAGCATCCTCTTTGTGACATAGCCCTGCAGCTGTGCTGCCCTCTATGCTAAGTCCTTCCTGGGGACAGGATCAACCCACTATCCAGCCACTTCCCTGTCAAATGTCTGGCCACTCCTTCAGGGAGAAGGTGGTGTGGAACCCAGGGGGCCTTTCCATTACACAGGATTCTGACCCAGGGCCCCTGTAAATGGCAGCCACACGTTCACACCAAGTTCTCAGTACTTTTCCTTGGGCCATGTCCCCACAGCCGCCAGCACCCTCTTTGCTCTTGCCTCCGGACCTCAACCTGCAGCCCACAGCAGTAACTTTACCTCCCTGGGTCTCTGCTTGCAGCCTTGGCCTGTCTGGGGTGCTTGTTACCTTCAGTCTGCATGGCAACCAGTCCTCCTCGTTCAAGCTCCAGGGAGTGATTGAAGCTGCTCTGCAGCCCTTCTTGTAGGGGCCAGCGCAAGTCTGATTGGCTGCTTTCTGCACATCCTCCCAGGGCTCTGTTAATCCCTTAGGCTACGTCTACACTGCAACACCATTTTGGGATACTGGAGTATCACAAAATAGTGCATTATTTCAGGCTCACAATTCCAACGTCCCTGTAAACCTCATTCCACGAGGAGGAAGGGACATTTTGGAATAGCAGGTTATTTTGAAATTTGTCTGAAATGTGCAGACAGTGCCAAATTATGAAATAAACCATTTCAAAATAAGATCAAAGTACGATATGCAATTTGCTTATCTTAGTTTGAACTACAGTGCAGTGTAGAAGTAGCCTTAAAAGTCCTCTCTGAGGCAGGCAATCCATCACAGCAAGTTTTCCCATAAGCAACTTCCTCCCCTTTAGAAGTGATCAACATGCACGCAATTCAGTCACAAGTAAACCTTCAAGTTCATCATTTAGGCTGTGTCTACATTAGCATCCCTTTTCCGGAAAAGGGTGCCAATGAGACAAGTCGGAATCGCAAATGCCGCGGGGGATTTAAATATCCCCTACTGCATTTGCATGAACATGGCTGCCGCTTTTTTCCGGCTTGGGGCTTTGCTGGAGAAAAGCGCCAGTCTAGACGGGATCTTTCGGAAAATAAAGCCTTTTCCAGAAGATCCCTTATTCCTGATTTTAAGAGGAAGGAGGGATCTTCCGGAAAAGGCTTTATTTTCTGAAAGATCCCATCTAGACTGGCGCTTTTCTCCGGCAAAGCCCCGAGCCATAAAAAAGTGGCAGCCATGTTCATGCAAATGCCGCGGGGGATATTTAAATCCCCCGCGGCATTTGCAATTCCGAAGTGTTTCATTAGCATCCCTTTTCCGGAAAAGAGTGCCAATGTAGACACAGCCTTACTGTTTTACCTCTCCTCACCTCCAAAAAATTCCAGTGCATTGTACTTTAAAATACAGATTAACTGTGATGGAAATGGACATTAGAAAAGGAATGATGAGACGGTTGCTCATTTTCTATGTTGATTCAATTATTGAACCCCTCACTGAAACTATATGTGTAGATGTCAACTAGGTTAAGAATTCCAGCACAATGCTTTCTCTACAGACGTGCCAGAATACTGGAACATGACAAAAAAGGCATGAATGCTTAATTTGCTTTTCTTTTCTTACATCAGGTGAGGAGGACAATTCTGCTGTCATTTGGTTCTGGTTGCATGAAGGAGAAAGCCAGCGATGCCCATCATGTGGTGCTCACTATAAGCTTGCACACTATGATGTTCCACATTGAAAATCTGTTATTTAAATGAACCAAAGAAGATTTCACTATGTGGCTAAATTGCACAATGATGTGCACTTAAATCTGCATGCAGAATATTTACTATCTTCGTATTTGGCTTTTATTGGATTTTTAATAAACTCCAGTCTTGTTTTACTCTAGGTTAATTAAAATGTAAATGAACAACATTGCAGACATCTGTGCCATGGATCATCGTTCTTCATAAAACTGAGGATAAATCAGAGTAGTGTTTAGGAAGAAGCGTTCTAATACTACTGGTTAATAAACATGGGTTGGCTTTCTCTCCCTCTCATCTGTAATAAAATTCCTAAGTCTTATGGCTGACTCATCTGTAATAAAATTCCTAAGTCTTATGACTGAAGCCCTACCAAATACACATCATAGACCCATCATAGACCATGAACAATCTGGTCTTTTATGTAATGTCACCTAATACTACATCTGGCATGGTATGGTATTGCCACCCTTACGTCTGTCCTCCTGCTGGCAGTGGCTCTGTCTTCAGAGTGGGGCATCTGGCCAGGAGCTTCTACTCTCTGGGTGCCCAGCCCTGAAGGCAGCACAGAAGTAAGGGTGGCAATACCACAACCTCACTACAACACCCTTTTTAGTGGAGATGTAAATGAGTAGTTGAGTGTACACCTAGGCTTAGGAGTTAATCATCGTGACTACTTGCAGTTCTCCCCACATACTTGCTGCTGTATCAGAAGCATGAAGGGGGGCAGAAAGCAGGAGCCAGTGCTGGGGGAGCTAGCCTAAAAGCCAGTTCCCTCCAGCACCGGCTCTGCAGTGCTGCCTCTTCCCCTCACCCTCTGCTGCTACCTCTCTGCAGGGGATCCATGCTCCCCACAGAGCAGCCTCTATCCATGGGGATCCTGGCCCCAATGCAGGCAGAAGCCGCTTTTCAGCAGCAGTCCCTGTCCATGGGGTGGGGAGGGGTCCCTGGTCCCCCCCAGACAGAGGCTGGAACTGAGCTGGGACCTCCCACAGATAGGGGCTGCTGCCGAACCAGCCTCTGTACATGGCCAGCCCAGGCTGCCCGTGAACAGAAGCTACTTCACGGCAGCCTCTCCCCCTCCCTCTGCAGCAGCCTCTGTGTGTGGGGAAGTGGGACTTCCTGCAGACAGGGGCTGCTGCCACCCCACGCTTTTGCCTATCAGGCACAGCAATGTGGGGCGGCAGGCAGGTAATCTGCGTGGGGAGCTGGTTTTTAAACTGGCTCCTCTTGTGGACCGGCTCCTGCTGGTCACCCCACACTGCTGCCTCTGGTTGCATTAGCTGTCAGCCCCGCCCCCAAGGACTACGGCATAGTCAAGTAACCGATAAGAATTCATGCAGTTACTTGACTATTCTGTTACCTAATATCTAACATCTCTACTTGTTATCCTTTGTTGAGTCGGGGTCCCAGTATAAGAAATGCTGAGTCTTAAGGACTTTATTTTGCTATTTTTAAATACATATTCATGCGTTGTTACACTACCATGAAATTTAACAAATATCAAACCTTGAAATTCAAGATTTAAAATATTATTACAAAATTTACAAAAATGGACTGTGAATTTGGTACAGCCCCACTTATGACTAAAACATTTTCATGTGTGTTGGTTTCCCGAATCACATGGTGGACATAAGCCTGCCAAGAGAAATAATGAAGAAAGTTAGAGGTCACACTTGAGCTATAAGCATATACACGTAGAGTGTCATGGTTGCAATCGTACCAGTATATGGTTATAGCCTTATGTACATTTTCCCTGTATTGTGTCAATACAGAAGTCATGGTGATCTCAACATTCTAACTAGTCTTTGGCTTAATTACGTTACATTCTGATTAAAGAAATATGCATCCAAACACATGAAGCAACAAAAGTTTTCATTCAAGTATTTTATTTTATATCTTGGTTTTCACTGCATTTTAAAAATCTAAAAAAAATAAATATTTTTTTCACAGCTGAAAGTCATATATATGTTTCAATAAAACGTAAGTATGTTGGAAGTTAACCAGACCAGGCAAATCAAATCTGAAAACGTTCCACTAAGCACAGTCATCTCAGAGTATATTAAAATTGAAAATAAGTTCCCAAAAGGGTTAAAAGGTATTTCAAATGCATTTTAGCTGGAAAAATGTGACCATTCTGCTAGACATCATAAACTACACTTTCAACTTTTAAAAATGAAATGTTTAAATTTGCGATAGCAATGGTCTTCCTCCTCATTTATGCTTTTAACTTTTGGTTGCAGAGGTTGGATTCTCAATGCTAAATTAATCCCTAATAAATTTTATCAATTTAGTTATACTATCAGTAACAAGAAATGGCTTATTGAGTCATCTTGTCCACCTTAACAGAAGTCATATCTGTAGTATTGCACCAGCACAAATAAATGACCACCTCATAGAAACTGGACTGTACATCATAAAGGGCAGGGCCATTTCAACCATCATTGTTAAAACAGGACCAAAAAAAAAACCAAACAAAAAAACAGAAAAATCTCCAGAAATCACACTGTTAAAAGCCATAAAATAAGCTCAAGTTTAATTATACGCAATAGAAACCATACTGCTATCAGAACTGGAACTATTTTATTACAAAGCTTTATTTACAAAATGAAAAATAATCAAATGGGACTATCATAATAGGAAAAAGTTAAATGTTTTCACTCAGTGATTGAAAAAAAGCAAGTCTTTCATGCATTCACATGCTAAATTGTTCTTATAATATGTGAAATATTGAAATTCATGTTAGTGAAACGAGTCATTCAGTCTCATTTTTATTTTAAGATGACAAAAACATGGTTCTGTACAAGCTGTGTATTAACAGTTCATTTTTGTAAGGACTTTTTGGTTTGCATGAATATTCCTATTACTGAACATTTTGTGAATAACCAGTTGTTACATTGTCAACTTGTCCACTGAACTTACCACCACAAGAAAGACACAAAAATTAGTTTAATGCTTCCACATTAAACAACTACAATACCTCATTTCTAAAGTTATACTAAACTGAAGCCTTCATTATGATCTATAGCCTGGATCAGCTTAGATTTTAGTGTTTCTTTGTCTGTGTATTTTGGAAGATCTAGAAGATTAAAGCAAGTGTGAGATACTGGAAGATACCCTTCTCCACCTCCCGTTGGCTGGATGACTAGTTTAAGACACTTCATCCCAAGAATAGGAATACGATCACTGCCCGTTAAAAACACTGCCAAAGAAAAACAGAAGAATCAAAGCTAAAGAAAGAGTGACTACCCTCTGTACCACAATGATAGATCCATACAATCTTACACTTCTAAATCCCCATTTTCAATTCTATAATATGGTTAGCTTTTTACATTAAGGTTGCATGGTTTAAAATTAAAACTAGTAAATAAATGTCATAACTGAATCATATACGTCTTACACATTTAACAATATAAATTGAGTATCAGACAGAAAAGTCCCTCTTACACCAAGGTGCACTTAAAGAGCCATGAGTGCACATATTTTGGACACTCATACTTGCAGGTGACTAGGTAATCAGGTTCTAATTTGTTCAGTGTCAAATACATGTGTCTGTTTGGAATGATGACCGCATGGGCCATTACCAACAGCTTTGTTTCTGAGTAAGGAAATGTCATATTCAATTGTCCTCTTTTCATGTGTTCCTGTAGCCCGGTATCTCCCACAATTTTGCTATGCCTGGACTATTTCCCATTTGTGCAGTTTCAGCAAGTGGTCTAAAGCAGCGGTACAGCCCATGCTGGCCACACTCTTTTCTCCAGCCTACAGCCAGATCTGCCTCTGCAGAAGCAATTCATCTCCATTCTCTTTGCTCCTGATCCTTCTTTTGTATTTTTATTTTGGGAGGGGGGAGGGGAGTAAGCAGCATTCTTTGTTTTCTATTCTTCTCAGTCTAGGGAGTCAGCATTGCAGGGGCTGAGCTCCTGGACCCGCTTTTCAGGAATGGAACAGCAGCCAAAGCCCAAATAAATCTGCCTCGCAAGTTAAGTTCCCTGTAAGGTGCGCACTTGCATGGGCATGCACAGAATTTTAATCCCACCCACCACCTCAGCAGAGCCAGGCAGAGGCTGCTCAGCTGTTTTGGGGTGGGGACTGTGAGGTAAGCAGGTGCCTCACCCCCCAGGAACAGCTGAACAGCCACCACAGGGCCCTGGCCCTAGCATCAGCCCTTCCGTAGGGCTGGAGCTGCGGCCCAGGCAGGCTGCGTGGTGGTTGCCGAAGCTGGAGCCATGGTGCAGATTTCCCCATGGCCACAGCCCCAGGAGCAGTCACACCACAGGCCTGGCTCCAGCTCTGGCAGCCAGCACACGGCCCACCCCAGGAGCAATCTAGGCAGATTATTCCACTCAGACTGAGCCAAAAGGCAAATCCTTGGTCACATTCTAATTTATATATTTGATACATTAGTATCCGTAAAAGCTGAAAACACAGAGTTAAAAAAATATACCTCTACTATGCTCTGTGCAAAATTAATCGCTATTTTCTATTCTATATTTAGTTTGAAACATCATTTATAGTTTGATAGGTGAAAGATGGTATTTTATAGAAAATCAAGTCTAGTACAAAATGAAAGGCAGAATAGTTAAACAACATTCAATACTATAAACATTCGGAGATGAATCTTAATTCCTATGTTTGCTTATTCTGGTAATTTTATATCTTGATATCACTGTATAAGATTACCTCAGCATCAAATGATGATTTTTTTTTATTCCACAAAAAACTGAATCACTGTCACCCACCTGAACAGACCAAAAGGAGAGTAATTCCTCCTGTATTCAAACTACTAGCTCCTTCACACCAACGATCCCCTCTTTTGTCACAAATTTTCTGCAGTACCCATTTCTATTCTTGGCCTACAGCTTTCTAGATCATTTACCATCAGCTGAGAATTACATATATTACTCTATTGCAAGGCACAAGAAAAACAACAATGAAACTGTTAACAAAGGTCATCTAGTTCTGAAACAATTCTCTCAGCAATGTATTTGGACCATCTAATCCCGTGGTGTCCAACACATGTGGCTAACTAGCTTGAACAATGTTGCTGTTCAGTAGGTTGAGTGTGGCTAGTTCGATATAGCCACTGGTTAGACACCATAGACTTTTTTTTTTTTTAATTCTATAGGCTGTTGATGGCAAATGCTACAACCTATGGAAACTTTTTTTTTTTATAA